TACCGTCGTGACAAGAGCAGGCTCATAACCCGCTCTGCGTGACAACGCATCAGTCAGATCTTTCTGCTTTCCTGGCTAATACTTCACATCGAGTTACATTCTGCGAAGAAGGAGAGCCACCTGGTCACCCTCTGCGAGAGGTGAGGCAACTGAGTCGCAGTGAATAATGACGCATGATATGTGTAGATCACAAACGGCTTCAAGTCAAGCAGTTGCACCCTGAACTTGACAGGTGCATACTTCATTGCATGTAATTCTTCGTCGTGGACGGGGTAGTTCCTTTCCGCAGGCGAGATTCGAACGCGATCACCCGATCTCGCCCCTCGGCATCTGATTGCAGCAGTGCACAGCCAACAGCAAAGTTCGAAGCGTCACAGACGACGCTGAAAAGACGATCGGGGTCTGCCAACGTCAGTATTGATGCATGAAGGAAGCTGATTTTGACCCTGTCAAAAGCCTCCCGATGTTTGGTGTCCTAGCACAATTCCGTATGTTCTTTTAGGAGATTTGACAATGGCCGTGCCATTTTCGCATCATTTTCGCTATATAGTTGGAAGGCCAAGCCACTTGCACAAGGCATTTGGCTCTTTGGAACCGGTCAGTTCACAATGGTCTTGACCTTAGCGGGATCCGCTCGAATGCCACGCATCCTAATGAAGCACCATAGAAAGGGATTTCTTACGCGCCGAAGTTGCACTTTTCGGCATTAGCATACAGCTTATTCGTGGGCATGCACTCGAGCACGGCTCTTTAAAGGACGATGGGATTTTCCTCATCTGTCCTCCCGTGTCCCGAACGACTGTAGACGATGATGTCTTATGTTTGTGCTTACGCTCGGCCGGGCCTGAAATATTGCTTCACAAGACGATTAAATGTTGCTGGTGCATTTGACAGCCCTTAGGGCATCACCAGCCACTCCCGAAGCATCCCACTCGAGTACTCTCCGCTCTCAGCGGAATATCACTCGCTCTCATGAGCAATTGGTAATACTCGTTGACCAAGTCGCGTGTGCTGTACTTTGTACAGCCAACCATTTTGATTTGGAGAACATTCTTTCTAGAAATCGACGTTTATGCCGGAATGGTGGCAGTATTTAGCTTGTTGTAAGCGTGAACGATACGCCACTTGCCGTTCAGCTTCGGGCACAAAAGTGGGTGTCGAATGGGGAGACATGATCACACGCACAATTCCTGCCTCGTGCTTCGCACGGATAAAGGCATCAATGACGTCATACTGCTTCTTGTGCTGGGGCCATTCGCGTGTAACGCATTATTTGTTTCCCGGAACCAGGTCAGACTCATGGCCCACACCTCGGTTCGGAGATAGGACCGACGGCGGTCTTTGGAGACGACGTCTTGGAATTCTTTTACCAAAGGATAGTACGGATCCGAGGGATTCTTCAGGATCAAAGATTCACTTCGTGCGTTCAGCACCCTCTTAGTGCCCTCCACGACAACTTCATCCAGAAGCAAAGACGAGATAATCTCCTCGTTCAGTCTTATTATGAACACATCGGCTAAATTGTCTGTCTTCAAGGCACCGCCAAACTCTTCGAAGTACATCTCGTTCGGCACAAGAAGAACACACACCGCGAAAATAGCCTCGTGGGCGACGTCGCCGTCTTTTTTTTCATCATACTGCTGACAAGGGTGTACAGCTGTGCGCTATCGTCTAAGGTAGGCACACCCTTGGTCATGGTGGACCCCCTATATCTTGCAGTTATCATACGGCTTCGCCGTCTACTCTTTATAGAGGTTTTACGTCCCATCGAGACCAGTGGGAACACGATTTCAGCTTCGTCCAGTGTCCTCACTCCCTGCTTCATCGTAGCCCTGAATATTACAACATCCGACTAAAAGCTGCTATTTCCACAGTCTTCGTCCAGTGGATAACGCGTCACTCCACGCGCATCACCAGGGCCTTGCCCAAGATACTTCGTACATTGTCTGACTATGCCACTGTTGGCATGCATCAAATGCTTCGAAAGGTGAGCAATGCTCAAGGGTTACGTGCCACTCCACGCGCATCACTGGGTCCTTATCCTCGATGCCTCAAGCCTCGTTCGACCATGCTACTCGTGGCATGCACCAACTGCTTTGACACTTGCGCAGTGCTCATTGGAGTACGTGCCACTCCACGCACATTACTGGTGCCTCGTTCTCGATGCTTGTGACCTCGTCCGACCATGCCATTCATGCAGTAACTGCTTTGAGACTTAAAAAAGTGCTCAGTGGATTACGTGCCACTCCACGCGCATCACTGGCACCTCGCCCTCGATGCCTTTTCCCTTGGTCGACCATGCCACTCTTGGCATGCAGCAACTGCTTTTTAACGTGACCAGTGTTAAGAGGGTCACGTGCCACTCCATGTGCATCACAAGGGCCTCGTCCTCGGTACCTCGTACCTCCTCCAACCATGACACTCTTGGTATGCTATAACTGCTTTGATACTTGAGCGCTCGGGACTCTTGTTTGATACACCTTCGGTGTTTGACGAATCGGATACTTCAATATCCAGTACATTGACCGTCCCGGTCCAGTGCCCGCGCCAAAAGAGCTTTTGCTTCCTAGCGCAAGTGGGTTTGTGACTCAGCAAAGTTCCACCAGGAGACGTGCGTGTAGCGCATAAGGTCTTCGACCTGCAATCAATCCATGGCTCATGGTGTTTCAGCCATGTCATACCAAGAATAAGGTCGAACCTTACATCAAAGTCTAAGGCTAAGCAACGTTCCACGCTATCGAAGTCAAGAAACTTGACGTCGATGTCCACAGGGTCCCTCGGTACAGTGACACAACTCTCCGTCGCTAAGCGAACAGCGACGGTGTCACTCAACCGCGCTTCAGCGACACAGCATATAGCCGACTTCCTTCGATCGAGGAGCGTCGAGCATAATTGCTCGACATGGCTTCTCAAAGCCCTTCACGGTCGCTTTGACACCAGCAAGCCCGGCTTGCATACACGTTCCGTGCTCAAGAGCACGGAGCTCTTCGGGACTGGACCCTGCTGCTCTCCACCTATTTGAAGCTCAACGGAACTCAGTTCCCCCCAGTAGGGTGCCCCGAGCCTAGTGGGTTTTCTCGTTCCCCCGCAACAAACCAGACGGGTTAAAAGCGGACCGTCGTTTCGTCGAACCTTTACGCTCCTTGCGCAGGGGATAACTAGTATGAAGGTGAAATGTGTCTCCACAGACAAAACACCGTCGGGTGTTTACACGCTGCTCGGCAGCTCGGAGCTCTCCATCCTCTTTCTCAGCATAGCTGAGATCCGTTGGCTCAGGCCCGCTAGACGATCTTTGAGTGTGTGCTTCCAACCAAGTCGATCCAACTTAAAGTCAAATTCTGCATTCAATGCCATTTTCACCGCTTCTTCAACAGAAGACGGATGCACACGGGAGAGTTTCCTTCTGGCCAGGCCAGTGCGGATGCCCTCAAGATGGTCACTGCGACCGCCTCCGAAAGAGGATCTGCTGCCATCCCGGCAATGAGAGCTCTTAACTCTTGGACAAAGTCCACCAACTCCTTTTGCCCTGTCGGGTAGAAGGGAAACGCGATCGCACGCAATATGCCTGGTTTGGCGGCGAGAACCTGCACAAAAGCTGACGCTTCAGCTCCTTCCAGGAGAGAACGCCGCTTCAACCAAAGCACCGCACGTTAGCGCCCATCCTCGCGTTTGGCCCCCGAGCTAGAAATAGCTAGCGCCGCGCGCTGTTGATCAATCTAAAGCATAGTGGATGCCGTAGCCATCTCGGCCTCTCTTACCCAGAGCAAGAAATACTCTTCACCGTAACCCTCGAGAGTCTTAACGCTCACCATGAGGGGCCGCCGTCGACGGTGAAGTCATATACGCATTCGACACTGACAGCTTCTGCTGTAGGTGCTTTAACAGAGCATTTCCATAATTTGAAAACGCCTCTTGGCGCGCGCTTATTGCCTCAGGGACTTAGAACAGAAGTCCCACGCCATCAGGGCCATGTCAGCTTATTAAGCACGCCCTGCATACCGTGGGGCAAATAGTAGTATTGCTTCATCCTCACAAAGGATAATTCGTGACGGCTCAGACGTTGATTGGATACGAGTGTTACAAAGTGCAGCGGGGCTGCCGTAACTTTTCGCTTGGAGGAAGTCAAGCTAAGGTCACCGACCTTACGTTCCTTGCAAGACCTGTACGAGTGCAGCGGATCGCAATCCGCTACCTCCAAGAGTACTTAAAATCTTAGCAAAGGTAAAGAGACTCTTCCAATCAAAATTGAGACTGTATTTGATTGCTTGAGTTGCGGTAGAGCCGCCAATATCTAAAACCTTTGGTTCTACTAATTAATATATTCATACCTAATTCATATATATAGTGAGGCCTGATTATTATCGAAAAACCTAATTAATATGCATTACTACTGGCAATCCTGTCACGTAGTGAATTCTTGTTACGGTGTAGCCGAACCATTGCGTGATTACACAACTTGTGTAATCCACACCTATGTACGGTCACACCATCTTGTGTGACCCGCCTTTTCCTACAAGGGTACGTGTAACCCCGTTACAAACTCTCACGTCTTGAAATTTATCATATGCATTCTTCGAATATCACTCTTAAAGCGCAACGATACTTTCTATCGTTTGATTTGAGAGAAGACTAACATTCCCTAATCCTAATCTGGATGGTTCTTTCGAGAACTTACCCAGCACAAAATGTAGATCGTCGGTACTGCGCGCATCGGGCGTCTTCGGAGCTTCTGACGCAGATGTACCGTCACATCGCTACTAAACTGGATCATTTTCACAAATACCGAGGCCTGCTTCGACTTGCAGCTTACAGTCGCCCGTCACCACAGGGGCGTACCCTAGAGATCGTAGCACTCATCCACTTCATTTTGCACCAATAGGCTAAATTCTGGACGCCGCAATATATCGCCTTATTTTTCCGTCCCACCATGAGAATCCAATTTACAGCTGGTGGTGTTTAGATCTTAAAAAAATCCCTGTGTGACTGCGACAGCCTGTCGCTTACCCCAACATTATCTGGACACCACGACATACATTTGCTAATACCCTTCACATCTGGAGACTCTGAACATCAGCTGCCGCTGCCTCCAAACTATCCCAAGGATCTTGGACCATCGGTGCTGTCAATTCGTTGGTGTTTATGAGATGCACCAAAGCAATGGCCCGAGCCAATATTTCGTCTGCTTTCATGCAGACGTGGGTTCACGACTTACCAAAGCACTACTATGTGGCATCTAATGTTTTCGTTTCTCGGACGTTCTATGGCTCATGGCGCTCCAGCTTGGAAAAGAACTAGGCAACTTTGTTTTATTTATCAAGTTTGCCATGTGCAACATATTTTTGCCTGAGATTATATCACAAATGCTTTGAAACCACGCTCATGCGGAACGCGATTTGCGTTCCGCATGAGCGTGGT